AAAACATGGGTCACGTTGACTTAACCTTGAGAAGACTACTTAAGATCAAATCAATGGTACTATTTTATGTCCCTCTCGAAGTCACAAAATTTTTTCTAAAATATTTTTCCATAAAATGCATCGTTCAAGAAATATTTGAGTCAATTAAAATAGAACACCCTGTATAGCTGATTCCATGAGTAATCAGACAGCATCAAAAATTGCATATATACAATGTTCCGTAATAATCGCATCAGTTTATGTAAGTTAATAGAGCAGGTAAACTAAGTTTAAAAAGTTCTCTACCATTTTGCAAATAATTGACATTAGAATAGTAGTACATTTTTCTACAGATCACCGAATAAACGCGTATCCACGCGGTCTACCGCCAAGTGTGCACCTATTTGTCGCGGTCACTACACTCGCGGGGAGCGGAGTTTGCCTGGTAAGCGCGCGTTTTGTATCATGCGCGTAATGCGGGTGTTTACCACGCAGTCCCCGGTAGCTAGTGACTGCGACCAATGGGCCGACAACTTCTACATGTCGGGCAGATACGCGCTTATTTAATAAATTTGAGATATTAATAATTCGTTCTTACTCTACCAGCTGATGCGGTTACTTCGAGAAATTCTGCGCGCACACACACGCGTGCGCACACGCACACACGCACGCACTCACTCATACACACCTGACCAAAAAACACTTTTCTATTTTTCATGAAAGGATATGTATGTGGAAAAAGAATTTTAGAGAAATTTTGAACAATGCATTTGAAAACGCAAAGATAGAGCAAAAATATAGGGCAAAGATAGCGCAAACATACAAGTATTCAATCTGCGTATGTATTTTTTTCTACGTCATTTTGTTTCTTTACATTAATTTAAAAATTGATATTTTTCAAAATACTTTTGTCTTATTTTTAAATGCTGCAATTTAAAGAAAATAAATTTTAATCAGAAGATATTGAGCTTCTTCTTTGTGCAAAATGTTAGTGCAAAATTTTTTTTTTATTTAGACGATCAAAGAAAGTTCTTAAAAAATTTTGAAAAAAGTGTATAATCAAATACATTATAATAAACATTTTTCCCCTTCTGTCTTCTTTCCATAAGCTTTTCAGTAAAAAAAGTCAAGAATATTATAAAAAAAGTTCGTTTTTACAATAAAAGTATGTTTTTAGAAATTGATGAATTTTACAAAGTAAAACAATTCGATATTTTTGCCGAAAATCATTGTACCTAATTTTTTCAAAAAGCATTTAGCTTAGAAATCCTATTTTAAAATATAAATATTTTATGTTACGTTTTATCCAATATTTCATCAAAATATAGCGCTTCAAAATAAAAAAAAAATGTTGCACAAAATAAGTTCGGGAATGCTTACATTTTCGTACATTTATAATGCTCGCATATCAAAAAATTTTACGTAAAAATATTTTATTTTTTAATTTACACTAAGAATATATTTTCCTTTAATTTTTAATTTCCTTTTCAATACGCCTATAATTCTCTTCAAAATTTCGATAATTTCAATTTTTTTTATTGAAATATTTATACATATATCGTGAGATGATTGTATGAACATATATGTATGTATATATATATATATATATAACATATACAATATATATATATATAAAAGAGCGTTTATATCTGCTTTTATATTTTGTCGAATCTTTTTCAATAAAAGGTTTTAAAAAAGTTACAGTAACGAATTAGTAGAGCAAATGCACAATATTTTTTTATACATTATGACATATTGCATTATTAAAATTCCTTGGAATGTTTGGTTTCATTTGAAAATGAAATTAAAACTATAAAAAAACATATAAAGCGGGGCAGACAGTGATAAGATTAATTTCACGTCTGCAATTCAAGAATATGTTGCATTGAGGTTCCGGTTTATCATCATCGTCGATGCATCAAGGATGCTCGACTCCTTTTAAGCAACGATTTATATATATATATATATACAAGGTGCGTCCCAAAATTTTCCGAACTTTTTCAATAGGGATAGGTCGGGTGGCGCCATCTGTGTTCGATTGCGCGTTTGAAAGGTACATCCCTACCTGACTTCCAGTGAAAATTTCATGACATTTGGTTCAGTGGAAACGAAGTTATGGCGTCTCAAGTGTCAGTATGTTGTATACATCGGTACGAGAATGAACTTCGAACAAAGAGCCAATATTAAGTTTTGTTTTAAACTTGGTAAAACATTTACCGAAACCCATAATTTGATGAAACAAGTTTATGGTGATAATTGTGTAGCCCGTACCAGTGTTTATGAGTGGTATACGCGATTCAAGAACGGTCGTGAGGACATAAATGACGACGCACATACAGGTCGCCCAAAATCGACAATTAACGAAAATTCCATCGAAGTTGTGCGTAATTTCATCAAGCATGAGCCAAAATCTTCAGTGAGATACATGGAAATGGAATTGAACATCCCCAAATCAACGATTTATCGCATTTTGACCGAACATTTGGGCCTACAAAAAGTCTGTGCACGATTTGTTCCACACAAGTTGACTGACGACCAAAAAATGCTTCGAATTCAACATTCAAAGGACATTATTAAGGAAGCCAAAAAGGACCAAAACTTCCTTTATAGCATTGTTACTGGTGACGAGACGTGGTGTTTTCAATACGATCCAGAAACCAAGCGTCAAAGCGCGGAATGGAAGGCGCGAAACGACCCAAAACCCAAAAAATCGCGTTTTGAGAAGTCAAAAGTGAAGACAATGCTCATTTGTTTTTATGATTCCAAGGGTATTGTGCACAAAGAATTCGTTCCAGCAGGCCAAACAGTTAATGCTGTATTCTATGTAAGCGTTTTGAAGCGTTTGGTGCACCGCATTCGTCGTATTCGGCCAGAATATCGCGAAGAAGGAAGTTGGCGCTTGTTACACGATAATGCGCCATCTCACCGTTCGACACTTGTCACTGATTTTTTGACTAAAAATGACATTTTAACAATCAACCATTCCCCGTATTCACCTGATATGGCACCTTGTGACTTCTACCTATTCGGCAAAATGCATTTGTCCATGAAAGGAAAGCGGTATGTGGACGTAGAAGACATCCAAAGGGCTTGTACCACTATTCTGAAGGACATACCTTTGAACGACATAAAACACTCATTCGAAATGCTTTTAGATCGTGCCAAACGTTGTATTGAGTCCGATGGGGACTACTTTGAATAAACAAATTTGAATTTGAAAAAAAAAGTAAACCGTTGTTGTTTTATTTCAAAAGTTCGGAAAATTTTGGGACGCACCTTGTATATATATCATATATATATAATATATACCATATATATATATATATATATATTTATGTATAGAAAAATATGTTTTGGCGTTTCCAGCTGATAATATATTGCTGGTTTACATAATGATTCAATCTATTTCCATATTTGCACGCGGTCGATGAGAGGAATGACGTTTCCTACTAAGTGCCGTTTGACACTTCGACATCCGAGTCAAGTCAAAAATGTGTTGTATATAACAATTACAGACTTACGTTTGAAATAAGTAGCTGGCGCCCTACAGAAAATCTCAAAGAACAATAGTATGCCTGTAGAAATGAGCTAGGAGTTTTAGTATAAGAGAAAAGATTCGCCAAAAATTTCGTTTATATGCTACGAATAAAACTGATATGAAGCCATGATACCGAGCACTATTTTAGTTCCTCGATATTGTTACAGCGGCGCTGTCATCAAGTATGCCTCGCTGGATCAGCAGAAACGATCAGAATTATCGATCTACTCAAACTCGTAACAAGTTTCTTACAGCCTTGGTTAAAATTTTTTCTCTTGAGAGGAAAAATAATAATAAAACAAATATGATATTAGTTATTTCAATTTTTGTGTATAAATAATGTCTTTATAAACAAAAAATATACAATATTATACAATATTATTCACATATATTATATTATTTTCGGTTAATTTTCGACTCTGCTCAGATACCGAAGCGTTGAGCAGCAATTTCATTCGTAGCATACAAATGAAATTTTCGTAGACTCCGTTCTCTTCTTCGAAGTTTTCTGTAAGCTGCTGGCTACTTATTTTAAACAAATAAAATCTGAAACTCTTATATGCAACACATATTGCGACGAGTCGATTGCAGGAGCCAGTAACAAAACTACAATTTTTAATTTTCTTTTGTTTTTCGTATTAAATTGTATCTGGTAGTCTGTATTGTTGTCGATACTTTAATCATAGAGAAGGATTTTTCAATCCGTAAGTGCAATTAAGAGAAACGAGTCAGGGAAAATTAGTCATACTTTGTTGGTAAAACAGGGCATTCCAGCATTCCCTAAAGCTTTTTGCGAATGTCTGTCTACATTTCTGTATTCGCCCAAAGGAATGATTCCTATTTCTTCCTCGCGCAAAAAGTTTTTGCAAAAAATTTTCATGCACGAGGAAGCGATAGTTGTGCACTCCTGGAACGAACATTACCGTGTCCTAGAAAGATCTTTCTAAATGCCATGCACGAGCGTCGAAGAATATCTACATCGTTACGGCTATATTTTGAGTTAAAAATTAAAAATAAAGTTTGATCGTATCATTTCCTCGTGCCATTTCGTAAACCGTTTACGTCCTTCGGGTTTTATTTGATCGGGAGAATAATATCGCGCGTCGTATCAAACCAATGTACGTTTGATTCGCCTTTGTATTAAATAAATAGGGAAAGACATCTTTACCCAATGTATTCTTCAGTCCGAAAGCTTTGGGCAAATCAAATAAACGCATCGGCAAATAATTTACGCTATCTAAATGTAAATTTAATGTTCTCGACCAACATTGCGATACCATAATTTTCATCCCGTTTGAAATTACCCGCAGTTCTTCCGTAATTTCCGAGTTTTCGAATAAATATTTCAAAATGAATTGCGCGTCGAACACTTTCGCATTATATGCTATACAAATGATATTTTTGAAACATTTTGTTGTTTGTGTTACGAGATTAACAAATTGTTTAATCGGATCATGTCGAAATATAAACTTGCACACTCCGTACCAACGATATCGCACCAACATATCCTTTATCCCTGCACATGTTTCGCAAATTTGTTGTGCGACGCAAAAAGTCGGAACGTGAATTTGTACATTTTCGGTTCCTTCACACGTCTCGTCCTGTCGCATTTCGAAATCATAGAACACGAATGCGACGCGATCTCTTTTGTATTTATAATTTGCTCTACCTTTGAACTCATTCTCATCCCTTGCATGCCATTTCTTTCTGTACCGTCGTACCACTCCTACGTATACTTTTCCCTGGATTCTCGGTAACGACTTTACATCGAAGAGGGCGCATGAAGCAAAAATGATTCGAAGACTAGGGGTATCCCCTATCCTCGGAAGTCGCGTACCGGACAAGCGATAGTCCTGCCGGACCATGCACTAGATTCGCCAAATTAGCGATATTCTTACGTAATCGCCCGGTTCGCACAAACGTATCGCATACGCGTAGATTTCGCGGAACACGTTTTCTAACCAGCAAACGATATTCGCGCCTTCGGGTATTGACCATATTACGAAACTTGCTTCTCTTCCGAGAATGCCGAAATTTCTGAAACGCCGCGAGTTTTCCGCCCTATTAACTTTAAGAAATTAAATTGTTTGCCAATCTCGTGTCGATGATGCTGTTGCTGATGGTGATAATGACGATGCTCCTCGATGTCAGCAGGATTCTCCTCTCTTTCGTTTATTAGATCGGCGTCATCTCTGCCGGCGCCACCACCGGTTTGTACTGAAAAATTAAGCAAATTTTGTTATATATTAATATCGATAAAATAAATTATGCTAAAATATTGTGTCAGATTATGATGATTTGAAACCATGAAAATGTTTAGTTACAATATTAATATATAATATACTCGTATTAATATTGCTTATATAATCGTATATAAGCAAACATCACGCGTAAATCTTTTGTTACATTCAAAATAGTGACTATGTTTAGTAGTACAGTAGGTAACTCACCTTAGTTGCTTCGTTCACTCGCGTAAAAATCTTCGGAATATCGACTCGATTGATTTGTATCATTTAACCGGCGTATATGAAATATCTAATAAAAAATTCGTACATGAGAATACATTAGAAGAAAAATATATAAAAAGTAGAAAAATATTATTACCTTTAACATCATGAGCATAGTATCTAGCTTTCTCCTCATCCTCCTCCTCCTCTTCCTCTCTTTCATTCATGTCTTCTTCTCCCTCCAAAGCTTCTTGCGTCTCTTCTATCTCCGAGATATTACTGGATTCCACCACCGAAATATCGCCTTTGTTACCCACTTCCCTGTCCTCCTCTTTCTTTTCTCTCTCCTCTATAATTTTCTCTGCCTCCTGTTCTTCTTCATTTTCTCGTGTTAAAAAGTAACATTTCGTTATCTTTTGCATAACTTACTGTGGATTTTTGCTAACTTTTTAAAATTTACGTCGTGCTGGAATAAAGAGGCTCCACAATTTACGCATATGTCTTCTTCATGATTAAAGCACTCGCGTACTTCTAAATAATTATTTTCTCGCATCGCCGCCGCAATGCCCCTTGTGCATAATGCACAACGTACTGTACCAACAATGTACTGGAGCACTCACCCACGAAATACCCGAAAACTGAATAATTTTCCTCGTCGTTTTCTGATAACTTTGTCAGATAATCAATTAACTAACTTCTGATTCAAGTTGCAGACGACGATAAAGAATTCGCGAAGTGCCATTTTTATCGTTCACGAAACTATTGATTTCACAAAAATCAATTCTTGACAGAGAAAATCAACGTAGAACTAATCCGTTACTCACACTCGATACGCGCTATTTATACGCTAGTGATTCACGAAAATTCCTAAAGAAGAATGAATCAATAAAAATTTTTAGCCACGCCATTGGCTAGTAGATTTTGACAATTTTTCCGATTGATTTCCTTCCTTTTACACGTAGAGATTTTCTCGAAAAATTTTCAGAGTGGGAGATGATAAAAATTCTCTGGTTACGAACAACATTCTAACAAACCTTGACAACATAAAATTAACTCCCTTCCTCGCATATGAACATTACTCTCACCATCGTTCGTCTTAGGAAATCCCTTTCCTTTCACTTTCGTTATTATCTCGGAAAAGTTTTTGTCACGTGCTTTTTCGTACTATGGTATTCTTATTGTCAGAGTAACTTAAATTTAACCTTTCCCATTTTTTGTCGTTTTTTAAAACAATTCTCACATACTATTAGTCTACGACAAGCAAAAATAAACTTTTTCAATAAAGAAAAAACGGAATTTCATTCTTATATCACGCAGCGCTTGATTTTTGTTAGATTTCTTTTGACGTAAGAAAGAAAAATCGTAGACTCACTGAACATAACTTTCGTCACTTAAATTTTTTTTTGACTTTCGTTATATAACTAAGACTTAATTTTTTATGCTATATAAAAAGTTTTATGACAGTTGACAAATAATTTTAGGGACAACGTTTCTCTTGAATTAACTTATATGTTCATGCGTATCCTTAGTTCCAGTCGTGCTAGTGAAAAATATTTCTAAGATTTATGAAAAATAAATATTTCCTTTACTCAGACAAATTATTTTCAAATATAATAGTACGTAGGCTGCTGGAAAAATTTCTGCAATCCAGTGGCGCCAATGTTCTGCTACTATCATATCCGTAAAATTATGTTAGACGTTTTTAATCTATAATTCAATTGACAGTTTGTACCCAAGCCAACTAGTTTTGTTTGCATAGTATTTTAGAAAAAGTTATTTTGTAAGAAAATGGAAATTTCGCGTGAAAATTTTCGGGCAATGATTTTTTACGATTACAAATGTAATCTAACTCCGAAACAATCTATTGATCGACTTCATTTGGCTTTTGGGGATGAAGCACCATCCAATAGGACTGTTTATAATTGGTTTGCCGAATTCCAGCGTGGACGTACCTTTCTTAGTGATGAATTCCGTGAAGGTCGTCCATCCACGTCTGTTGTTGCCACTAATGTTGATGCTGTGCGTGAAATGATTGAACGAGACCGGCATATTAACATACCGCGAGATTCAGGCATCCTTAGGCATAAACATGAAAACAATACATACGATTTTGCATGATCACTTGAGCGTATGGAAACTTTGCAATCGTTGGATCCCCCACAATTTGACCGAAGCTCAAAAACAGGCTCGTGTTAAATGGAGCAAAGAAATGCTCAAGAAATTCAACCGAAGTCGGTCAAATTTGGTCTACAATATTGTTACTGGGGACGAAACATGGATCTATTCGTATGAGCCCGAAAGTAAACAACAATCCACTGTTTGGGTATTTTAAAATAAACTGAAACCAACAAAAGTTGTTCGTTTACGCAGTGCTGCCAAGCAAATGATTGCTTGTTTCTTCGGTTATACCGGACATGTGACAACCGTGGCTTTAGAGGATCGAAGGACTGTAAATACTGATTGGTATACAACAATTTGTTTGCCAGAAGTCATAAATGAATTGCGTAGAACAAACCGAAATCGTCGCATCCTTCATCATGACAACGCCAGCTGTCACACAGCACGTCAAACCGTTGATTTTTTATCCATTGATAATGTCGAATTGATGACTCTTTGTCCGTATTCACCTGATTTATTACCTAATGACTTCTTTTTCTTCCCAAACATTAAAAATAAAATGCGTGATGAGCGATTTGAGTCGCCTGAAGCAGCTGTTGAAACATTTCGTACACTGATTTCTGAGGTTACAACCTTAGAGTGGAAAAAATGCTTCGAAAATTGGTTTAAGCGTATGCAAAAATATATCGATCTTGAAGACGAATACTTCGAAAAACAATAAAGCCATTTACCGATTTTTTCATATTGTTTGCAGAAACTTTTCCAACAGTCTACATATATACTCATGGGTGTATAATAACCTAACCCTAACCAAACTCGATGCATGGTACTATGTATGCAGAGTAAAGTAGGAAAAAATTTTCTAACAAAAATTATATAAGAAAATACGAATGTAGTGCGCCCCTAAGCAAGGAAGGGAGAGGTGAAGTGCTTCGCGTGGAAAGTTGTAAAATATACTTTAAGGCTGCTTTTTCATGCTGATGCTCGACGTTCATTTTCACGTGATCAGAATTGATGCTTAGTATTCGTCAATTTAGATCACGTGACCTGTTTGACACTCGAATCAAGCGTCGAGTGTCAGTATGAAAATGCCTTAAGCAGAAAATTTCTGTTTTATATAGTGGAAAAGGAATATCGTATACGTTATTTCTTAAATTTTTTTGTTAATAACTTTTTAATGAAGTACGAGCGACGGTTAAAACTTGTTGGAGGTCACTCAGGGTCATAACCTTGACAATATATGTCAAGGTCAAGGTCATTGGAGCTTGGTTCCCTAATCGATACATTTATCTGTAATGCTACTATTTTATAAAATACAGAAAACGTTTATTAGACAGAATTTATGATATTAACAATGACACAAAATTCAATGATATTAGCAATTCACTCTGTTTTCCTTTCCCCATTTCCGCATAACGCGTATTATCTGTTCCACTTGAGAATTGGATGTATTTTTCAGAATCTGTATCACTTCCGATAGCAGTTCTCTGTATAATGAAAAAGAAAATTGACAAATTAATCCCCGATACAGTTTTATGCAAATGTACGATATATAAAACATACTTTGGTAATTTCTCCGCAATAATATACTGAAAAGCACCACAGCATGCACCACGCTTTCCTTCCCAATGTTCAGGACTCGGATCCATTCGCTCCAACATATCGAAAGCTTTAGCAGCATACCAGAATTCGCCTACTTTGTAACACACGTTAGCAATCAATTGAAGCAAATTGAAAGACTCCGCTGATGTGTCCATCTTCAAATACAGTTCCCAAGCCAATTCGGCCTTTTCATTCATTATATCTAAGAGTAGAAAAGACAAACAATTGTAAATCATATTATTACTATGATAATTATTTGACAAAAGTTATAACAAAATATTAGGTGGTATGTTAGTGTTTCGGGTGTCAATCAATTAGACTGATTAGTCGATTCTTGAAACTGGACCGCATATCAGTGTATCTACATATATGTACATGAGCCAATAAGTTATAAGCACCAGAGTTTATCGACTCTCGATAGTTTTATCGATTAAGTTTTGAGTAGTCTCAATCGATAGCTTTTAATTATATAATAAAAGTATTTTTGTTTTTTCTCTATGTACTCTATGAGCAGAGAGATATTGCTATTACTTACAACAATATGATAAAAGACTGATGTAAATGTAATCATTTTTATATTTTTCATTACGTATCATCAGAAAAGCTTCCTCCGCTTCTTTGAAGTAGCCCGCCCCAGCTTGTGCTTGAGCGTAGTTAAAGTTAAAATTATCTTGATTAGAGAAATACGTCTTTATCGAATTCAGATATAATCTGACGCGCTCGAATTGTCGGTAAAGGAAGAAGAAGGAGGCCATGCATTGTCTACCAGGTATGGTATCACATTCCGATGCTGAAGAACCCACTAGTTGAAAGTATTGCTGTGCAGTTTTTATACTGTCGCGCTAAAAAAATTTAGTAGTAATTCAGAAATTTTTCAATAATGCTAAAAGATAAGTAGTTTAATGACATACAGAATTAGTTTCCTGACCCATAACAGCGTTAACTATACCCTTTAAAATATATTCTTGTGGAACTGCTGGTTCTAGATCTTTGATCAAATCATAGGCTGCCTTGATGTCATCTTGTTTCAAATAATATATTACTAAATTAAGTCTGGCTTCTGGTATAACGTCTACCAAATTGGGTAAAATTTGTAAAGCGTTTTCACCCCCTCTAAAGACCTACGTAAAAAGAGAATAAAAGTAGGAAAAGTAAAACGTATTAAAGTAACTCCAGTATATACGCCGTACCTAATAAAAATTTAATCTATCAAGTATTATTTATTATGGAGTGTTATTTACTTTAAAGTAAATAAACTATATTAGTACCTCGATTTTGTAACTTTTAACGATAATATTGATCGTTATATTGTCGTTGCGCAGATATTATATATGGTAAAAAAGCTGCGCAACAACATAATGATACCAAATTGTCGTTAAGAGTTACAGAATTGGGACAGTAAAACTTTGTATTGTCTATTATTATGAAAAAAAAATTAGAAATCCAAATACTTATTTTTGTATAAAAAACACTTTTAAAACTCTTAAATTTTTGTCGTACATCCCACAAATGAAATATATGGTTACTCATAGATGAGTAAAGAAAAAATTTAGAAAAAATTTATGAATAATGCTTAGAAATAAAACAAAATAACACAATAACTTATAAAATATACATACAAAATTTTATTAAAAAATAAGAATAATATATATGTATAAAAAAAAATTTTTTTTAATCGGCCACTTAGCAAAAGCTTTCATTTTGTGCCAAAAAAACATCCCTAAATTTTTATCAAAAAATATTAAGATTTAGAAGTCACTAGTGAACAATTTTTAAATCAAAG